GAGCTAGTTACTGTACAGTAGTTTCTTCAAAAATAATATATAAAATCCTTATAATTCCACTAACAATCTGTCACACAGGGATTTGAACTAATAACATGCACTGTAAAAATGTTCCACACAACTCCACGTTGTCCCAACACAAATTTATAAAGTTAACAGTTTAATTGTTGTTGTACAAATTAAAGTGGATTGAAAATAAAACAATTATGTTGTCCTCCCCCCTTTTTTAAAAGTGCACTACTTATAATACATCAACCAGATCCACTTATACAGTGTTTGTTCGTCTATCTGTAAAAGTGTTCAATTTATAGAAAATCAGAGTAAAGAACTCACCACACCCCGAGAATACTGATCCTTTACCGGAGCCGAATGAACCGCAGAGAAGAACACAAGCATAGGGCAGGTCAGGTAAACCAGACCAAGATATCCTGAGAAACTCATGTGTGTGCTGGTGGAGACCTTTATTCACAGATGAGTGTTGCCTTTATGCTTTCACACCGTTATATGCGTCTTTCTGGCTTCTTCAGTTTGTCTCTTTAGGACTAGGCAGGGCTGAACCAATCAATGAGTCTCTCTCTCTCTCTCTCTCTCTCTCTCTCTCTCTCTCTCTCACACGCACACACACACACACACACACACACATATGCTTTACTCAGAAAAAATCCTCTCTATGAGAATCTCTTACTCCCTAAAGATTCAATAAACATTGCTTAACTGGATTAAAATACATAATCAATATTAACATTAATTATTCAGCTGTAACTTGATTTAAAGGGACAGTTCACCCAAAAACGAGTGAGGACTACATGCGTTTCTTTCTTCTGTTGAACACAAAGGAAGATATTGTGAAGAATGTAGCCAATCAATAGGGGAAAAAAATTAGATGAATGTTTTTTTTTTCATCCAACATTCTTCAAAAATTTGTTCGACATGAACAGATTTGGATAAAAACTGAGGATGAGTAGAACAGTACCTTTAAAACCAGTAAGGACTTTCTCAGATTTTTTTTTTTCTGCAGATCTTAAATCAGTCACCAAAACCACCAAAACATGAGGTGAATGTGCACTAGTTACACCCATAACGGAAAACAGGATGTTTCAAACCGTTTCAACACTCGCAATATGCCCTGTCTTTCAAGAGTTTACACAGTACAAACAATGGTTACAAAAAATTTATTTTTCTAAAAGGTCAAATGAGTTACATTTATGCTTACAATCAATCATTTGACAGATGCATTCATTTAAAGTGAGCTACAAATGAAACTAGACGTACTTAAAGCATCAAAAGAACAACAAAAAGTTTAAATAATATGCTAAATCAGAGCAAGCTCAATTTAGCAAACAATGTAAATTTCTATATTTCATATCTAGAGAGAGGGATTTTAAAGTTAGAAGTTCAGAAATAGAGCTAGATCTTAGATCAAAGTGAGTTTTTAATAGACATACAGTTGAAGTCAGAATTATTAGCCCCCCTCAATTATTAGCGCCCATGTTTATTTTTTCCCCAATTTCTGTTTAAGGGAGGGAAGATTGTTTCAACACATTTATAAGCATAATAGTTTTAAAAACCTATTTCTAATAACTGATTTATTTTATCTTTGTCATGATGACAGTAAATAATATTAGACTAGATATTCTTCAAGACACTTCTATACAGCTTAAAGTGACATTTAAAGGCTTAGGTTAATAAGGTGAACTATTGGGCAAGTTATTGTAATTTTTTTCTGTCGACTATCGGGGAAAAAATAGCTTAAAGGGGCTAATAATTTTGTCCCAAAATAGTTTTAAAAAAAATTTAAAACTGCTTTTATTCTAGCTGAAATAAAACATATAAGACTTTCTCCAGAAGAAAAAAATATTATCAGACATACTATGAATATTTCCTTGCCCTGTTAAACATCATTTGGGAAATATTTTAAAAAGAGAAAAAAAAAATCAAAAGGGAGCTAATAATTTTGACTTCATCTGTATATAAAAATAATTCTCTAAATAATGTCTATTTCTGTGTTTAAGTCTGTTTTAAAGTTCCATATCTATTTTTTTCTCAATTTTATTACTCAGATACACTTAAAAAAATGATTAGTTACTTAAAGCAAGAAAACCAACTGCCTTTAAAACAAGTTGACTTCACAAAGATAATGTAAGTACCCCCGTAACTGTAACACTGAACCGTTACATCGACTTAATTTGTATAATTATGCTAATTGTACTCACTTTTTAAAGTCAACTAATCTCTTTTTATAATGTTAGACTATTTTAGCGCGTTTCTGTTTTCAAATAATTACTGTAATTATTACAATATTACAGATTTGGTGCATCATTAAGTTTATAAAATGTACAAATATAGCCTGTATTGAATTTAGAAGACACGCTGGAGTTTTATTTAAGTTGCTGTGTGTCCTTTTGCTAGATACAGAAAAGCTGGAGGGAAAAAAACAAATATAATAAAGGCGATTAGTTTAATAAAGTACAACTTGCATTATTATTTAAAAAATTCAACTTAACTACTTAAGTACTGCTAAGATTAATAGTTGCTTTTAGTTAAAATCGGTTCTGAGAGTGTTTGAGAAAGGTCATCATCTTGCCATCTGTGGATGTAGATCAATGACACCAGAGGAAACATTAGAATAATATTGATTAAAATAGGACTGTGTGAAGAGGAAGCATGTGGTGGAGGAAGACTCACAGGGAGCAGGAAACTTGCAACTGTGTTTAAAAAAAAACACGATGCGAGACACAGGACTGACTTTACTTTGAAGTTCAGGGCAGCAGCGTGTTTAACAAAATGATGATGCAAGTCACGCAGTGCTGTTGAAACACTTGTCACAGGATAGATTTCAACACGATGCTCAAGGTATGTCAGACTCCTACCATGTGGTGAAGGGACAGTCAGACATGCCACATTCAGTCACTTTGGCTGAATCCGAAATTGCCCCACATACCCTTGAATAGTGTACTACATACCATGTGGTAAAGGGACCGTCAGTCATGCCACACTCAAAGTCACTTTAACTTAGGCTGTATCCAAAATTGCTCCATATACTCTTATGAATAACTCTTAAATAGTGTACGATTTGAGGGAGCAGCCATTTGTAGTGGTGTCTGAAGTGCACTCGGTCTATCCCACAATGCACTGCAATAATGAGTGTAAAACCAATGTCTGAAATATACTACCTATATCAGGGTTCCCCAATTAGTTTTCACTAAGGCCGCATGAAGGGCGGCACAGTGGTTCAATGGGTAGCACTGTCCCTTCACAGAAAAAAGATAACTGGTTGGAGCCCTGGCTGAATCAATTGGCATTTCTGTGTGGAGTTTGCATGTTCTCCCTGTGTTCGCATGGGCTTCGGATTTCCTCCACAGCCCAAAGACATGTGCTGTAGGAATTCATTCTTAGTCCCTTTATTAATCCGGGGTCACCACAGCGCAATGAACCGCCAACTTATCCAGCAAGTTTTTACGCAGCGGATGCCCTTCCAGCCGCAACCCATCTCTGGGAAACATCCACACACATTCACACACACACACTCATACACTACGGACAATTTAGCCAGCCCAATTCACCTGTACCGCATGTCTTTGGACTGTGGGGAAAACCGGAGCACCCGGAGGAAACCCACGCGAAGGCAGGGAGAACATGCAAACTCCACACAGAAACACCAACTGCGCCGAGGTTCGAACCAGTGACCCAGCGACCTTCTTGCTGTGAGGCGAACTGCGCCACTGCCTCGCCCGTGCTGTAGGAATTGGGTAAGCTAAATTGTCTGTAGTATATGTGTGTAATCTACTGTATGTCCTGGTCATTTTTATACATGACAGAAATCAGAATACTTTGTTTCATTGCTAATAAGGAGCTTACTAAGTGTTAAATTGCTATTACAGGGACTGACCAAGAAGATACAAGAAAAATCCCTCATGATTCCCCAACACACAAACAAAACAGCATCTGTTTAGTGAACCTTACCCACTCGTTTTCATTCACGCCATTCAAGTGGACTATATTAGTGGACTAATGTAGGGAATGGTGAATGAGGGTATAGGGGACAATATTGGCTGCAGCCCCAGCCATTCTGTTGATTGCTGCCATGTGATTGGCTGATATATTGGCACCTAATATGGTGCCAAGTGTTTATCCATTGGAGAATCACCAAAAAAAGTATCAAAACACGGTGAGGGGGTTTATCTAGTCCCAATACTAGCTAAAACAAAGGGAAATAACATTTTAAAACTGCTATACTAATATAGATTAGTCAACATATCATTCTTCCTCTTTCATTTTGTATGTTTGGATGTCATTTCTTGCCACTTCTGTACTGGTAAAGCATGAAAAATGACTCATAAAACTTAATAACACAACACTTCACAGGCAATCATATCTGTGAGCTTCAGAATATTCATTCCTGCTTGTTTGAAAGCGCCTGCAAACCATCAATGTTTCTCTCCCATCTTTCCCCCAACCCCCATCCGAACAGAGTGCATCTGAAAGCACTATTAGTGGTGCATAACTATCGCTAATGCCTTCAGAGAGAAAGATAGACTGGGAGAAAGAAAGAGGAAGATGATAATGGCCAGACAATCACTCCTGCTTCACTAAAACTATTAGTGTTACTCATCAAGTGGCTTTGCTTTATACTGAATGTGTTCAAGTTAAATGTGAAACTTTGTAAAACGGATATACAGAGAAATTGAAGAATTCACATGACGGGTTTTATGCAATCCAAATGTTACTTATGGAAGTGAAACCAAATACATTTGCATATGTGTGTAGTGTAATGCTTATGGACTAAGATTGTTATTATTATTCTCATTCATTCATTTTCTTTTCAGCTTGGTCTCTTTATTATTCCAGGGCCGCCACTGCAGAATGAACCAGCTAGCTCTATCAAGCCTCTTCAACTGCTCCAGAATGCAGCAGCACGAGTGGTCTTCAATGAACTTAAACGAGCACATGTCACTCCGCTGCTCATCCATTTGCACTGGCTGCCAGTTGCTGCTCGCATCAAATTCAAAGCTCTGATGTTTGCCTACAAAGTGATTTCTGGCCTTGCTCCTTCTTATCTGCTCTCGCTTCTGCAGATCTATGTGCCCTCCAGAAACTTGCGTTCTGTGAATGAACGTCGCCTCGTGGTTCCATCCCAAAGGGGGAAGAAATCACTTTCGCGAACGCTCACGCTCAATCTGCCCAGTTGGTGGAATGAACTCCCTAACTGCATCAGAACAGCAGAGTCACTCGCTACTTTCAAGAAACCACTAAAAACTAAAAACTCAACTATTTAGTCTCCACTACACTTCCTAATCTGCAAATTGCCTCTCTGAATATCACACTAACTGTACCAAAAAAAAAAAAAAAACTAATACTACTAATACTTCCCTTCTTAGACTTTACAGACCTGAAACTTGCCTATAGCACTTATTCATTGTTGCTCTTGGTTGTGTAAATTGCTTCCTTGTCCTCATTTGTAAGTCGCTTTGGATAAAGGCGTCTGCTAAATGACTAAATGTAAATGTAAATGTAACCACCAACTTAT